GCGATTATACTTTATTATTTTGTATAATACAAAATGTTTCTATGTACCTACTGTTTCCGTTTGAGCCAAATGACGTCCACTGCTGGACATAGGCCTCCCCCAAGGATATCTGCATCGACCGTTATTGCGCTGCCCGCATCCAGGTTCTTTTCGCGACCTATACCAGATCATCGGTCCATCTAGTAGGGGATCTGCCAGAACTACGTCTTCCTCGTGGTCGTCAAGAACTTTTTTGCCATCACTTCTACGAGTTATGTGCCTCGCCCACCATCACTTCAGTTTGGCAATTCTGCAGGCTATGTCTATTTTTTCAAAGGAAGAACTATTTTTCCTACAAATGACAAGGAACCATTGAGGCGATTGCGTAGCCCAACAGTATAGGCATCGGATTGCCGGTTACCAGTTCGATTCCTATCGACTGCTGAACTATTCTGAACCCACTCCTAACATACTTAAGCATTAGCATCATTTTACCTATAAAAGTTTAAAAAAACTTACCAATTTTGAGAACCAAACAAAACATGAAACGAAAACCGTTCTCGAACTTTTCAAATTATAGTATTTAAATTCCACTGTTCGAGTGGAAAGCTCCATTCTGAACTAGTTTGAAAGGATTTTACTCCAAAAACTTAAGTTGGAATGATGTTTTCTGCCTTTCGATGTCTTATACTTATTAGGTTTACTACGTTCTGTGCAAGTAATCATGATATAAATTCATTATCATTATAAGAGTATACATATAATATACCTACCTATATCCTTTGATTGAGTTAGTGAAAAACCTCCCCTCAAGAAAATAGCTAGCAAAGCAATGGCTACCCAATAAGAAAATATTATTTTAAAACGATTTATTACTATGTTATTTCCTCAAAGAAAGCCAAAATAAATCATTACAATTAGTAATTCAGTGAATTTTAGTACTTCTATGGAATTGAGTTTTTATTGTCATCAAATAATTTAAAAAATACTATTTAATTTTTCATCTATCAAATGAAATAAAAAAAAATTCTTCATACCTACATAAAATAATTTGATCTTAAACAGGGTGGCCCAGGAGAAAATTCACTTTTGTAAATTCAAGGAAACGAAAACTGTACATTTTTGTAGAATTTTAACTATTGCAATTTAAAGGAAATTTTGTGCAATTTATTTTAAAATTTACTTTCTTTTACAAATTTTATGCTACTGTCTAAATTATTTTATGCTAACGACGTCGACACATATTCACGGGAGGAGTAGGTTAGGTACACACTATTTGTATCTCGTACCAACCGTATATTATTATCCTTTGATCTTTATTGTCGCATCGCCTCCATGCTTTGATCCCAATTTTCTGGAAGAGCCCTCCCCGGCATAAAGTCAAACGTGTATCAAAACCTTTTTGTTGTAGTGCACTAAATAAACCACCTACATAGTTAGTTTAGTTTTGTCATTTATACTGCCGAATCAAGTCGTAATTTTACGACATTTTGTTTTAAAAATACTGCCTCTTTAAGGACGCAAACCCACACACGACCTTTCCTTTGCTGGGCTAATGGTTTAACCACTAAACTACATAGGCTTTAGTTTCAGTATCGGAATTTAAGAGGTTTAATGACATTTCATCAAAGTTACCTTTGACATCCGAAAGCAATAAATTGCATACGCAAACCAGTCAGCTAAGAACAAACCGCAGCTTTTTTAAAAAGTGCGGTATATTTTCCACAGCTTTTTTAAAAGTGCAATACCATGCGTAAACAATCATTGTATCGTGTAGACTACGCTTGACAATCACCATGTTTTTCAAAACATTGTAATTCCATTCACACAAAGGACGCTGCAATAATTAGAAGGGAATTAGCAACAAATTATTGCTATAGGGACGGCATAATGGCCCGTCGAGTTGGATAGCTCTCATTAGTGTACGTTGCCCCGGCAGAGCCCGCCTCGTTCTGAATCTACATTATTCATGCGGGCAATATTGCACTGCCACAGCTACAGGTACTGTCCGCAAAGGAATTTGAATTAAAAAACAATTTGTGACGTCATCACGTCTCAGTAATCAGCAGCCAGCTGTCTTAATTATTTTTAATTGATCTAAAAAATTTTATTTCAAAATCTTACTATGCTACACTGTTTAACTACATTGATAAAATATCCTGTATACAAGTTCGCTCTGTCTAAAAAAATTTGATGGACGTTATTGCGTACATTTACCTCAACGTTCGCGCTCGTGGATAAATAAAACACACAACGTGATATTTCATTTATAAAAGTGACTGCATCAATAATAAGAAACAGACCTTGTAAATAAGAATGTTGAACATTTATTAAAATCGTCTAAAAATTTACCTGTTAAGCAATCCTGTAGCTTTTGATTTTTTAAATATTTAAAGCATCTAAACTTAATGTTCTCGTCATCATAATCACGATTGACTCAGATAGAACCTATAGGTACATAAATATTTTCCAAGCTGTTTACAGCTTTTATAGTACCTACTATAGTAAATATCAATTTGGTCCGACCACTATTGTACATTTTTACAAAATACAAACCAAAATACCAACTATTGCTAACTATTAATTTGATATCCGTACTCCGTTGTGCATCGCCCACGGCTGTACATACAAGAATCAAGATCTTTTGTTGATGCTGCTCCATTCGATACTAGCTGCGTTGTCATAATATCCTTGATTGATCACTATTGGCACAACATCGTTCATTTGGGACAGTTTGTTAAGGCACGTCTACATTATGGACCTCATTTTAGGATAGAAAGATGGTTGACCTTTATAGTGGTATTTCGAATAAAGTATTGTAGGTTATATCTCCGAAACTCTTCACCGCGGCATTGGAAGACGCTTTCAAACTCCTGGAATGGAAAGGATACGGCATAAACGTTAACGGCGAGTACATCACTCACCTTCGGTTTGCCGACGATATCGTGGTCATGGCAGAATCGCTGGAGGACCTCGGCACCATGCTCGAAGACCTTAATCGAGTTTCCCAACAGGTAGGCCTTCGAATGAACATGGACAAAACGAAGCTTATGTCGAACGTCCATGTTGCGCCCTACCCGGTGTCGGTTGGGAGCTCGATTCTTGAGATTGTTGACAAGTATGTCTACCTCGGACAAACGATCCAGCTAGGTAGGTCCAATTTCGAGAAGGAGGTCAATCGTCGAATCCAACTCGGCTGGGCAGCGTTCGGGAAACTACGCAACATCTTTTCGTCCAAAATACCCCAGTGCCTGAAGACGAAAGTCTACAACCAATGTGTGTTACCTGTGATGACTTATGGCTCGGAAACGTGGCCCCTCACTATAGGCCTTATACAGAAGCTCAAAGTTGCACAGCGTGCTATGGAGAGGGCTATGCTCGGTGTTTCTTTACGAGATCGAATCAGAAATGAAGAGATCCGTAAACGAACTAAAGTCGCTGACATAGCCCGACGGATCAGCAAGCTGAAGTGGCAGTGGGCTGGGCACATAGTACGCAGAACTGACGGCCGATGGGGCAGCAAGGTTCTGGAATGGAGGTCACGTACCGGAAAACCCAGCGTGGGACGTCCACCCACAAGGTGGACCGACGACCTGATAAAGGTAGCGGGAAGGCGCTGGATGCAGGCCGCTACCAACCGTGCGATGTGGAAGTCATTGGGGGAGGCCTATGTTCAGCAGTGGACGTCCTGTGGCTGATATGATGATGATGATGATGAGGTCGCAGCGCAGGTAGTATGATTTATTGGTAGTAGTAGTGATGGGCCAACTAGTCGGGGAAGCTGACTCGGCAACTTTATAACAGGCTGACTAGTAGGAAAAACTAACAATAATGTAGTAGCCGACAACTTTTTGCAGTATGACGTACCTAACATAATGTCCAAAAATCATAATCAGCACGAATAACACATCAGACAAAAAAATTGTTGTAATTATAGCGCCAACACACAAGACATCGCAGTGTTTAACTTGCTTCTTACTTTTTTCTAAGTATAGTACTAATGTTTTAAGGTCAACTAAATAACCTTACTTTATAAATGAATAAATTAATGATCTTTTAAGCTTTTTTTATGAGTTTTGTATTCTATTTCTAATTACATTTTAGTGCAAAGGTAATTTTCGGATCCCTCCCCAAAACTTTCAGCAATAAGCTTTTATAGTTTTGTTTTGGTGACGTTGGTTGATGGGACCGAATATTGAATAATATTTCATTCAACTTTCGTATAAGTAATGGGAGAGACTAATTTCTTGCCTCATAGAGCGTGAACCTTAATAAATGTAGAGATATCTGATATAATGGTGAAATATCCAAAAAATAGATGCTTATAAAGGTCTCATTTGTTACCAACTTACCTTATGACTAAATATATTATTTTATTACGATAGAAAAACTAATAACAAAAAATATAAAAAGAGGACGAACACAACACTGCGGAAAATGTAGACACGGCTTTATCATTATCTACGCAGTTTTCCATTAGCCAAATTTATGAAATAATTAATGAATGTATCTAGTCGGTAATAGTTATCATGAATCGTCCACAACGGCAAATAATACCTAAGTGCTCGTTAGGTTAATTAAATAATATACTAAATGTACATTTGGAGCTCTAACATGAGCTTTGTCAATTAATATCTTGTTTCGTACGAAAATTAATACCTTTTCGTCCAGAATGCAGTCAATTATTTTCATAATTCATTTATTCATTTCAATCACCTTTTAGAACAACTGGGCAACCTACTGTATTGAGTTCAGGGTGTGTATCTATATATGAAAAAAATAATTTGAAAAACAATTTGCACGCTTTCGAAGTTGCGGCCACATAGGTAGCTACTTTGAAATAAATATAAACGAAGCGCTTATTATAAACTTACTTCTTAAACGTTTGATGTACTTCTATTACGACAAAGGAATTCAACAATTTGCGAGCTCAAATTCTGAAAAGACTGCCAATTGTTCCTATTTTCCAAATATAACCAAACATAAATTGGATGCCTTACATTTCTGTTTTATTGTTTCAGGGGGATCCTACTTCAGAACCAAAGGAGATACGGCGAAGCTATCAAAAGTTTCGAGAGAGCGATTTATTTTAGACCCTCCATGGCCTGTGAGTATTTCACAGAATTAATTACACCATAAACTTATTTGCCCATCTAATATCCCGGAATAAGTATTGTGTGTAGAAACCGAATAAGATTAATTAGGATCTGTACCACTAGCCTTTGAAATATAGACTTTTCCTGGAAGCTATTTGTTCGTACAATTTGAGTCTGTAATACAGATTGTATTATTCCGGATATAAGGACTCAGAATTGGTTCACTGAATAGTCCAATTTTCCTGGCCGTTGTATCGAATGAACCAATGAAATCTCAAAACAAATAAATAAAAAAAAATCAAACAAATAATTATAAACAGAATAGCTAAAACGGAGCTAAATAGTTACATCCCCTTATTAAAGTTTCCAGAATATATGCAGCTTCTTCGTTAAATTAAAGCCACTGATAACGAAAAGTGTTGCATTTAGTACCTCTGAAATAAACCCAAAAACCGTATGTGTTACGGCGCTAAAGATCCGCAAGCATGATACTACTAATGGGCAAAACTCGTTTGCTGAGTAAACCCGCTCGCGTATTTTACAAAATACCCCTAGAAATTCTTTTAATAAAATCCTAGACTCAAGCTGGCACATTTGCGTTATATTTTTTATCTCCACCGTAGTTATTATGCTAAACAACTTTCATCATGTTGCCACTCCAAGAAAACTCTTCAATATTAAAACATTTTCAATTTCAATGTTATTAAAAAGATCACGGCGCGTGTATGTAAGTAAAAATCTAATTCGCAAGCTAAATTGATAAATGGTGAAATATTGGTAAATAAAATTCTTAGTTGCCTTAGCGTGTGATTAATGTGAGCGGGGCTTTTTAGCCTCCGATGTGTGACGTTTAAAAAATACATCAAATTCGCGTGATTGATGATACCGGCAACTTTTGACGCGTTTTATTTCATAATCGTCTCAGTACAAGCATCATTTCCATTAGCTGGGTACGTTAAAAATGTACCGGGTGGAAAATTCTGCAGAAACTCATTAATTAGGGGTGGGATTAAAACAGTGGTTTGTTATTCCAACAACAAAACTTTATAACTATGTGGAAAAATACGCAAATGTCTATACTTTTCGAACAAAATCCAGTTCGTTGACTTGAACATGTCAACAATGTTAACGAACCAAAATCGAGTCTGTCATTTTAATTAAATAGTTCTGTTAACTTTGGTATCACGTTGTATGAAAAATACATTTTGCCCCAGTAGGTAACGTTTAATCCAATTATTCCCAGTACGGAGATTATTAACATTTCATCTCTGTCCATATGAATAGACTTAATTAATTTAATTATTCAAGTTAACGCCATTTTAATTTAATATTATTCGGTATCTAGTTGACTCCACTAACCAATAAATCCAAGACTTCTTTCGGAAACAACTGAATGTTAGTTTACGGTTGGATAAATTAAGACTTTTTAGCATTGAAATCAATAAGTTTTCAGTCAATTTGTGACTGATTACATCATAGTCCCCAATTGTATGTCCATTGACTACGGTGTCTATATAAGTCCCAAGGGAAATGATAATAAATCGAGCTTACTTTGTCCAGTGGCCTACGTAAACCTGGGCACATCACTAATGGCGGACGGCCGATTGGCCGAAGCAGCGAGCGCGCTGCGCGCCGGCTCCCGCGCTGAAGGCGTGAGAGTTCGCGACAGAAGAGAACATGAATCAGCGCGCGTGTCCGCTTTGGTCCAGCTGGCCGCGCTGCATTCTCAGAGGGGTCACTGGCACAAAGCGCTGTCAGCGTATAAAGAAGCGCTGCAGATTCTACCAGACACGAACGCGCCTATCGTCGGATGGACGCGGCATGTAAGTAGCGGCACTTTTTATAAGTGTATTAAGGGGACGCCATTATTTTTTTTGGAATCAGTGACTTAGGATATAGTTTAACTTTCATTATTCTCATCACCACCATTTAATTCTGACGGTATTTTGATATTTTGAGTATTTCTTTGTCGATTTACAAAAGGAAAAGCACATCACTTCTATAAGTTACTAGCTTTCCGCCCGCGGCTTCGCCCGCGTGGAATTTCGTTTGTTCAAATTTTCTTTGCTATAAACCTCACGGAGCCCGAGACCTTTCCAACGAATGCAAAACCGTGGAAATCGGTTTGTGCGTTCTGGAGTTATAGCGTCAGGGAGGAAAACCCGACTTATTTTTATATAGTAGATAACAAAACTTTCAATGTGATACCTACTTACTTTATAAAGAAATCTTCTATGTGGCAACCCTTAGCAGAGCATTTTTGTAATTTATTATAACGTACCGTCAAATCTTGATCACACAGAAAAAAAAACGTTTGATCTCAATCTGTAATCTGCTGCCATATTCTCTCAGGCAATTGGTCAAAAGCCAAATGGGCCCCACTTGAAGTAGGTACTAATTGGGTGTTCACCCGTTTAACAGTGTGCCAAAATAGTACTTTTTGTTGCAGAACGTGTTGTCAATGGCTGGCGAGATCTACGTTCAACTGCAGCAGTGGCCGCAGGCTGAACATAGCATATTGTCAGCGATAGCAATTGCGCCGGACCACGTGGAAACGCACCTCACACTGGCACAAATACTCGCGAGAAACGTAAGTCAGTGATTCTGTTCAAAAATATAATAATAAACCTATAATGCTTCAACCACACCAACGCGTGCAAGTCGCCATCGCCGACGCGATCACGGCGCGATTATAGGAAAATGACAGGTCGCGCGACCTGTCATTGGCCTTTGATCGCGCCGGCGATGGCGACCTGTGGGTCTAGACAAAGTGCAAATTATAATCGCAAATCAGTCGAAAAGTGGTCGAAAAGCCCCTTTTTTGTATGGAGTTTTGACGGATTCGATTTTTGATTCGATCAAAAAGTGCGTTTTGTCTAGGGGGCTGCACGCGTTGGTGTGGTTGAACCTTAAGAGAAATCAATGTTTGGTAATGTGTTGTGTAGAATAATGTGAAAAAATTACGTAAACTCTTGTGGAATATTATAAAATTTATCAACGTACCTCAAAAAGACATCAGATTTTCTTTCCTTTTTTCCTTTACTTTGTGTATCACATTACTGATTCTTAAGCCAAAGCGCATTAGTTATTTACAATTATTCCTATATCTTATAACTTTCTATAGTAGGTTAATGTGAAAAAGTCGCTTTAATCTCATGTGAAATATTACAGAATCTACCGTAGCTCAAAAAGACAGATTTTCTTTCCCTTTTCCCTTTACTTTGTGTCTCACATTACTAATTTTAAGCCGCCGAAGAACATTAATTATTTAGTTATTTAAAATTATTCTTCTATTATAACTATGTCATTACACTTCAACCACTCGTTAATGTAAATCAGCGTCTCTTTATTACATCCCACGAACGTGTTAAAAATTGAATAAAATTACGCTTGAATTAATTAGAGTGTCATTGGTTGCAGACGAGTAGGTCCATGGAGGCAGAGATGTGGTTCAAAAAGGCGTTAATGTTAGCGCCGAACGACCCTTCGGTGCGGGATCAGTTCGGTAAGTCACTTTTTTGGCACGGCCTTTTAACAGCAAGCGGTTGGAATGTTTTTCGTTTTATTTTTTATTTCTCGGCTGTAAGAAAAGTTTTTTGAATAGTAGCTCAAAATGTTTATGCAACATGTTACTTTTTGCATTTTGCACTCTAAAACTTTTTTTTATTATTTTCTAGTTATGTTCCCGCCTTAGGCAGTTCGATTTTTTCAAGTCATTTTTAATTTATTTACTTAATATGTACTTATGTTATTTTTATTTTCTAAGATGAAATACCAGCTTTGAGGTGAAGGCTGTAATATTTATGAATCCAGCCTTTTAAGCCTTTTAAAATTACATACCTAGTCTTTTATTAGCATGATACCGAGAACCTACTGATCCTACAGATAATAAACATGCATCGATCGCAATTTTACGTGTACTTTGCGTGTGATAGTATGCTGACATAAAATCGGATAACAGGTGCTTTTCTCGTATATGGGTTATCAACACGTACATAAAGTGAATAAAATTGGACAGCCCAGCACATCAGACTCTACATTTAGTTGCAAAATAATATCTACTACAATATCTTAAGATGCCACATTGTTTAGCTAGATATACCGTCATCTGTAGAGCTTCTACAATCAAAAGTTGTAATAAAAAGAAAAAAATTGACACTCATTATCCATCAAGATGATTTTCCAAAACAATGTTACCTGTAGAGTCAATTACATAAGTACATTTTAGAATTTGTGTGTCCCACCTAAGACATTAAATTATAACTGTAGTCTGTACCTAAATACCAACCAAAACCATTGCCCAACATCCTGATTTCCTTCCTTTCTTCCTTCTTTAACTGGCCCCATAACCGTTATTTCGTCTTATTCTTCCAAGACCTAATGCAATGGATCACGAACAATAGCTCGTAAGTCTAAGCAACGGCAGAGTGGGCTACAAAGCCGCACGACTCCTGGGCTTGTATATAAATGGGACACATCCAATCGGGAGGCCGGCAATAAAGCACATAAGCCCAACACAGATATATTGTTACACGATGCATTTGTAAACAGGACACATGTGCAGTATGAATCTGAATAGTTTCCTCCGGTCACTTAGTGTAGTGTTTCGCACGGTTTCATTTGGGAGATACAGAAATAGGAACGGTGTACTACTTGGCAAGATCGTAATTGAATCAGCTGATCAGTTGAAGAGGGGTAATGGGATAGTAATGTGATAAAAGGAACATAAATCTTATAGATAGAAAACATAATATTACGTACTTTGTGATTAATAAAATTCCAAGTAGATTTTATGCACATTACTATACTTTAATTTTTTACTTCAAAATCAATTTATATTACACACCGATAAAGCCCTTTAATTATACACGTCCCCAAATTATATGAACATAGACATTGTACGTAGACAGGTAACATAACTACTAAATGAATGAAACGTTGTTCTGATGCTGCTTTGCATCGTTAGAGATACATGTTTATTTGGATTGCTAATAGTTGAAATGAACTTTTTACAAAACAATGAATCTATTTTAGTTTTACAATTTTTGTAAATTGTTTTAGGTATGTTCCTAAGATCACAGCGAAGGCTACGTGAGTCAGCAGACCAACTCGTAGCAGCAGCGAAATTGGCGCCGACTGACAGCGCTCGCGCTTCGTCCGCTGCGCGAGCGCTGCGGGACGCGCGCCGCTGTAGATCTGCCGAGCGCTGGTACGCCAGAGCAGTGCAATTAAAGCCCGAGGTGAGTGGTAATAGAGTCTATAATGCAATGGTACAATTATCGAACATGTAGCGCGCTTCGCTTCGTCCGCTGCGCAAGCGCTGCGAAACGCGCGCCGCTGTAGAGCTGCCGAGCGCTGGTACGCCAGAGCAGTGCAATTAAAGCCCGAGGTGAGTGGTAATAGAGTCTATAATGCAATGGTACAATTATCGAACATGTAACGCGCTTCGCTTCGTCCGCTGCGCGAGCGCTGCGAAACGCGCCGCTGTAGATCTGCCGAGCGCTGGTACGCCAGAGCAGTGCAATTAAAGCCCGAGGTGAGTGGTAATAGAGTCTATAATGCAATGGTACAATTATCGAACATGTAGCGCGCTTCGCTTCGTCCGCTGCGCGAGCGCTGCGAAACGCGCCGCTGTAGATCTGCCGAGCGCTGGTACGCCAGAGCAGTGCAATTAAAGCCCGAGGTAAGTAGTAATAGAGTCTCTAATGCAATGGTACAATTTATCGAACATCAAGAGACCATCAAAAGCTTTTAAAAATGCATAACCTATATTTTAAATCAGCTAAAAGAATTCAACAAATAGAATGTAGTCCAACTCATCCCAAAAAAATAACACACCGTCTTGCAACTGGAGTAATCCAAAAGCATCTGCCGAACTCTAGTACGCTACAGCAGTGCACTTAGAGCCCGAGATGAGTAGTAATAGAGGCTATAATCCTGTGCAATTAACGATTATGTAGCATTTACTTAAGTATCTGTTTACTCTTGCTATTATACGATTATTACCTGCATTAATTAAATGGTCAAATTGCAATTGACTTTCAATTCCACGAACGCTGATTGTTCAATCATTAAACCTGCAGTGCTGAAATTGATAGTACAATGTAGCCGGCTATTTCGAGTGGACATTGGTCCCATTGTGGCTTTATAATCGTGCTTGTTCAATATAAGCCACTTAGTTTTCAATTTCCAATACTATTGAAGTGCGATAAACTATGCGAGAACATATTGTAGTGCATAAGCGCGGTTTCCAACGAAATGTTTTAAATAACTTATCAAATTTCATAATTTACACAGCTCCACTTCCCGCACAGCTCCACTCCGCCTTGATGGAAACCGGGCCTAACTTAGTTTCACCAAACATTTTTAGAACCAAATGTATTTTTTTTTAATTTCGAATAAAGAATGCTTTATTTGAATTTAGAATACTTGATTCGAATTTAAAAATGCTTAGTTCGATATTCAAATGTAAAACTACGAGTAATCCAATTGTGCTGTGGTTCCTGCAAGATCCACGCACGTGTAATTTATCGCGAAGGTTGAATTCCTAGAGGAGAACTAAACACTGTAAGGTTAGCGTAATAAATGGACAACCGTAAGGCGAAGGCCACATTACATTTTAAATAAGCCAAAAACACGGGAAAGTTTTTTTTAATATCCTTAACTGGAAAAATACTAGTAGTTGGCTTTGCAATCATTTAAAAATGTTATGCTAAATGGCATGTCTCAAAATAACAAAGGCCTCTCATCTCTTCGATCTTTACTAGGTATTCGTTGATCTCTTCTCTGCCATGAGAACAATGAAATATCTTACAAGATAATTGATATAAAATAACTACACTACCTTACTTTAACCGTAACTATAACGATAACCGATGAGTTTTGTATGGAGTTTGACAGACTTTTGACCTTTGTTAAAGATGGTGCAACCTAGCCTTAGGAAAATCTCTAAGGCCCGATTCGACCATACTTTTTTCCGAGAATAACTCCTAAAAAACTGACGATTTATTCTTTGATTAATATTTACTCCTGTTTGGTAGAATCCACCCTAAAAGAAAAAAAGCTTTCACACAATTGGATTACCAACAATTAGGAGTGTGGCCTTATCCTAACGCGGCAAAGCATAGATTAGAGAATTCCCGGCTCTGAACAATTAATGCCTACAGTGTACTAGAATAACAAATTATACGGTCATCGTTTTTGTCTGATTCGCACTTTGTTTTACACGTTTACGTGTAGTGAGGTGCTAGGAATGGGAGATGGTCAAATTGGTCTTACCTTTTCTTTTGTTTTGAGTTTTTTTAGAGTGTAGTGTAGTATTCATTGTGAATAACCTATATTATGATGGTGTTTAAGGGCAACTACACAACATATTAATATAACCATGCCTACTTTTCTATGATTTTGATCTGTATGTGTTTTTTCGTTGGTTTGCGTTATATGAGTCTGGAAGTGCATTTACACAGAAGTACCTACATACACGCTGCCTGGCAAAGTTTATGACAACTTTGTACTTACCGGAACTACATTAATAAGAACGTTTCATTTTCATAGAATACAGTACGTAGGTTACTTCTTATTGTACCGCCAAACTAAACTAAACCAACTTAAAGTTTAAACACAAAAGGCCCTTACAAATGTTGTTAAAATTTTGTAAATAAATATCATTCTCCGATCTCATCGTTTTTCATTTTCTTTTTTTACTTTTGTTAATGTTCATTGATTCGTTATTTCCATAAAGTAACACAATTTTAAAATAATCTGGCTTACTTCGTAATTCATATTATTCTTAATTTGTAATCCGAAAATCAGCAGACAATGAAAACGCAGCTTCTTTTACAGTGAAAATGAAGCTCACGAATAAAAACAGGTTGAATATAAAAGGTGAAAAAGTTAGCTTAAATTTTTATTTTAGCTTCCCGCTTGCAAAAACAGAAAATGCATGAAATCTGTGCAAAGAAAATAGGGTAACAATAAGAATTCATTTTGGTTATCTTGAACCTGCTCTGTGAGTTGCATTAAAAAGCTGAAAACGAAAAATGGAAAATAGGCCGTTTGAAAAATGAACTGGGCTAGAATGAAAGTGCATGAAAAATCTTTTAGAATTCTGTGTGTTTGAGTTCTTTGTTGTGATAAAATAATAATATCCAGTAATAATGGAAATTTTAAAAACTTTTGCCAACGGTGTTGTTTTTCTTTTAAAGATATTATTAACTGGCTGGTGATAGCAACTTTAAGGCTGATTTGCACCACCTAACTTTGACTGTAACTTTTTTTAACTATACGATAACCGGTGTTTTTTGTATAGAGTCTCCTTGACAGACTTTGGACATTTGTCAAAGTTAAAGTAAGATGATGCAACCCAGCCTAATTGTATATATGTCAAATATTAACAACTAGCTGACCCGGCGAACTTTGTTCCGCCTTAATGGCAATAAATAAGCAGATTTTTTTAAAATTTCGAACGGGATAAAAAGTATCCTATGTCCTTCTCCTGGCTCTAAACTACCTCCCTGACAATTTTCAGCTAAATCGGTTCAGCCGTTCTTGAGTTATAAGCGAAGTAACTAACACGACTTTATAGATGTTTGACATTATGTGCACAAAAAGATATTTTTACATATCGCTTTCGCTCAATGAGAAATTTAAGCGGCGTTCGATAAACGTGGTGGTCTGGTCCAAAAATATTATATTCATGGACTGACATTCTTGTAACCATTAAAGTTCAAAATAGTCTGACGTTAACTTTTTTCTTCCAGGACGCAGAATACCACTCAAATCTCGGTGCGATTCTCCACCTTAACGGCAAGTACGCAGCTGCCGCCTCGTCATACCGGAGGGCGCTGCAGCTTCAACCAAACGATGAGATCACCATCACCAACCTGAAGAGAGTCAGGACCCTCATGGGCAAGCAGCGGAGGAAATAAGTTAAGTTTTGCGGAATGTTGTAACGGTGCTCCTTTGTTTCCTATAGCTGGACCGGGAATTTCTTCGAAAACTAATAAAATAAATTAAAACATAAATCAAAACAGAACTTTTTCAACGGAGCCTTTCAAGGCAAGAGTGAATAGGCAATTACAGGGCAGATATTTACCATCCTAAACTGCATCTCACTTAACACCAGGTGAGATTGCGGTCAAATACCTGCCTTGTTCTGCATAAATAATCTCCAAAACTTTCAGGATCGGTCCAAGATCTCATTAGTGATTCCTAAACTTTAACAAATAAATTTAAAAAAATCACTGATCACTGAACAAGTTGTTCTGTTACGTAGTTATGGAATTTATTAAATAACACATTGCTGCAAATCTCAAACGGAGCGTGTAACTCCGCTAACTCAGCGGTGACCTACTTCCAGACCTATACCCAGTTTAGAGATGAATTTAATGATATTAAAGTTAATATAAATACTTTGTAACGTTTTATGAAGTCCTATTTCAACCTTTTGCTAACTTTGAAGTGAGAGCTGAATATTAAAATGTTTCTTGACGTCCAAATATTGGAAACAAAGAAAGCAAAAACAGTACGTCAATTGCCAAAACTATTGATAGCTTTCAAAGACGGTGTTGTTATCATAAAAAATACCAAAATATTTTCCAGCTTTTTATAAGTCTAAACATTCCCTTTTGCTTAAATTTCTAATGTTTTAAATACGATATAACATGGTTATTGTTAAATTTATGTTGATTAAATAATAATATGAATAAAACGGAATTAAAATGTTTGTAAATCCAATTTTTTATGACACATGAAATCATGTTGTCTTGTTACTAAAATATTATAATAATGAAAGTTACTGGAAACATCCATAACTTTTCGTGAATTTAACTATCACAACATACTTGGTTAAAATGTGTACATTTTAATTCAATTATATGTAAGTAACTGATCAGGAATTGCGTTAATATTAATTGTTATTTACGTTTTTGTAACACTTATGAGTCAATAGGCATAATGGTACTGAGCTATACGGGCGAGTCTTGAAACAACGTTATAGATGTAGTTAGATATATTGTACATAGGTGAACTAAGAAAATTTTATACATGTGCATAAAAAGATTTTTTATGAAACGTTAGGGTCCCAATGTTTGAAACATTTTGGGAAGCGGTTGTTTATTGTTTTGTTTTGTTTTTCGTCTTCCATGTTTACTGTTTCTTATGTCATATAAACGATTATATTCAATATCGAAGCGAAAGGCTAGTGTATTTAATGTATCTATGCGTAATGTTGATTGTACATAATTAAAGCGTTTGAATAAGTAAATAATGGTATAAAATGGCACCTAAATGGTGTGAGTTATAATTATAAACATCGTCATTTACGTCCACACGCAAATGTTGTTACGTGCGATGTTTTATTTTAGTGCTTGGAAACATAAAACGTTTTGTTTTTTATTCCTTTTCACTTTAACCTAAATTCAGTTTGCAAGCAAATAGTCTTGTAATACTATTTTTATTGAAAGAAAAATTGTTAAACTCAAAGTTTGAAATACAAATTGATTTGGGTCTTCTTAAAACAAATCAATTCGTGATACGCTTGATCTCATTTCTTTATTGTAAATTTAAACTCGATTCAAAATAAAAAATAATGCTTTCAAAACTTTTGAATAAGAGCCATAACTAACATGCAACTGCAAACGAAATGTTAATATCTCTTACGGTAACATAAACAAAAGATTCCCGTGTTTGTGCGGTGGAAAGCTCGGCTGAAAAAGTGCAGCCTTTCAGAAGGCGTCGGCTTTTCCAACAGCTTTCACAAAGCTTCGAAACGCGTGCACGTGGTGAAGCTCACAACATTATTACTATTTGAAAGTGTGGCATGACCGACATTATTTTTTCAGTTTATCTTTATTATTATCTTTAGGGCCGATCCGCTGCTCAAATATTTTTAACATAAAACAAACTCGTTATGAAAGGAATAAAAAGAAATTATGAGCATTAAAAACTTACGACGTCATAACTAGCACTACTAAGTATGACGTGTTTTGGACATCTTTTATCCGATGTAAGATCAATAAAGTATTTAAGTAGCAGGATAGGCCCCGTAAGATGTTATTAACAGAAAAAATATCCCCGTACCCCTTAAATTGGTATTTTATTGGTAAAAAATAACTGTTTTATGCCGTTAGTTTTGACCACAGTGTGAAAAGACTGATATTCCATTTAGCCCTTGTGGTCTGGGTCTTAAAATCTAAATGGTACATGACATCAATAAATCTTAAACTATGACAAAAGCTGCCGTATAATATTGTCGTGACGTCAGGGTCTCTATACCAATTTATTGTTGCCGAAATAACGATAGTTTCTATCGAAAATAATTTACTGTTAAAACTGTTTTGATTAATCAAATTAATTATTATTCCATATTACATCATGTACCATAACAAAGATATTCAAAATAAATCTCAACACTGGAAAATGTTTGCAGCGTCCTAATAAATTAATTAATTTTAAGTTCTTTTAAATAAGATCCAACATCGCATAATGATTTCCCGGTAACTATGATTAGAAACAGCAAAAATACCAACATACAAAGGAATGTTACTTCAACATTCCAGAACAATAAAAATTTCATGGAATTGTTAACAGAAAGTACTACGGAGAAATTATATTATTACTTGACCTCTACCTAGAATTTAATAATACAAGTTTGGAATGTCATTGTTTAATCAGTTACCATAATGGCCACACGAATTTTGTAATAATTTATTTAAATGTATTTTATTTAATGTAACGTCTGAAACATATCTATGTCATAATGATGTCATAATTATTATTGTAAAGTTACTCGCAAAATTGTTAATACGATATCTGTAATATAAATTACTTTAATAATGTAAATATCGTCATAATATTGTATAGATACTTAGCTATTCTTTATGTTTGTATAATTTATGTCGATTTCTTCTCACACCTGTGACAATAAATGTAAATTACGCTTTTTAGTAATAGTTCAAGGCCAAATAAATTTAGTTTTGTTTATTAAAAGTACCTGTGGACTTGCTTCTCAATATGACTAATTAATTTCGAAAATGTCATGTAAATTTTTCATTTATATTACTTTTTTTTTTATCTCTTTAGATTACAAAGATAAGACAGTGTAGAAAATTTATTTTTGTTTTTTATTTGACATTTGTTTAATTTATGTATAAAATTAACGACTGTTTTATTTGAAATCAAGGAATTACAAAAGTTCCTTTACCAATACACTACTACTCTATTTTATTATGTACACATTAATGAAAGTAAATAATAATGGACGAACACAATTTTATACAATTACTTATTATTATGACATAGCTCCATAGCCATATCTTATTAATAATAATGCTACTGATAACTTTGTATAGCTTCTTGTTATATTTATGTTATTTCTCAATGTAATTGAGTTTAAAGATAAATTTGAATTTTTACCCCAACTTAGCTCTAGAGCGGGGGGCGCGCCCCCCATGGAGGCGCAAAGACCTTTAAAGGGGGGCGCGGACCATCTGTGTACTTAAGTATAAAAAAACCTGCGACCACTGAGAAAATGCATTCCGAACTGCTCGATACGACCATTATAATAAATAATCTTGACTGGAGGAGGGAGGGCGCGGAATTATTTGTATGGTCGAAAGGAGGCGCGTCTCAAATAAGTTAGGGAACCCCTGCTCTAGAGCATAAGTTAACTCAGTCAGTGCCTGAGGTATAAAAGCGGCACGGAAGGGGTGACATTGACATAATATGTCAATATATAATACATGATAGAGCACATAAAGAAGAAGGAGTATGAAGTCTCGTTGACATTTGACGTTACAAAAACACCCTCCCGTGCCGCTCCTATACTGAGGTATAGAAGCACTGACAGAGCTGGATCTGTAGCTGGCATGTTTTCAGTACGTGATAATCTAATCGAATATAACCTGAAAATATGTCAGCCAAGTCTTTTGATACGTTAAAGCAAAGCTTAAAGCAAATTCATCTTCAAATATTTTTGATCTTATATTAAAATATATTTTCTATATATCATAATTTTAACAATGATATCAGTTATTATAAACTCATTAGGTAAGTAATAAGCCTTGGTAATATTTTATTAAACTGTACCTACCTACTTCCATAATAATGTAACTTGTATCAAACTTTAAAATGTACAGAGTGGTAAAAAATTGCGAGTCAAACTTAAGGTTGGTTTAAAATTGAGTCTAACAATTTTTTTTTAATTAAATGGGACATCAATCCAAATGTATGTTAACAAAATGAAATATAGCAACATTAAAATATTTCAGTTAAAAATATGATTTTTTTATATTTTGAAATTTTTTTTAATAGTTTTTCTTTATAAGGTAACCTCGTTTCAAGTAACAAATAATTATTGAAAGCAGGACTAATATAATTTGTTTATAATGTTTTTCCTGTGTTCTAGAATCGTTTCAACCAACCTTTGGGCTCATACTTTTTCAATATTCTGTATTACCCAACATGAAATGGGATTCCACTAATAAACGATGGAGGAATTGTAAGCGCTATAATATATTGTTTTTATGAATTAGTATTGTATAGGTATATGTATATTAACGGCGTTATGTAAGTAAACCTGCAAATTCCCAAAGTGATATTATATGTTGGTAATTTTGTAAATAAAAGCTTCGATATTTTATCCGTTTTGTTTTTTATTTGTCTACCCTACTTAATAAATAAGGGATCAAGAAACTAACACTTATCATATTAAAGGTAACCCTTTTAGGTATTTCCCGAAACAAAACATGATATGAATTTATTCTCATAGATGACACACGTATCTCTACCACTCACTAGGTAGCACGAGACAATAATATGGTCCCATGCTGAGAAGAAACAGCACAAAGGAAAGGCAAGTATAAATCACAATCACTTTTTTCATTTAAGAAACGTACATAATTAATTAAACTCGCTAAGTCTTAAAATAAGCAGAAATATCCAAACACTTACTTATTATTTTCTTAATTAATTTGCACACGTGTAAAGCCCTAAAAATCACAATTTTCTTATTGCATAAAATATAGGGCCCATAATCGTGCCTTGCGAAACCGCACCGTTAATCTTCCTCGAATATACTCACAAAGCTTGTGTGTAATTAGGCGCGGGAATCTTTACGGAATAGGTGCCATATTTACGGCATACTTGCGTAATATTAACGTAACTTAAGCTAGCTTACGTTTATAAAGCAGAGGTGAAATTTTTGAGGTCGAAAAGATAGGGCTTAATTAATATTATAATGAATAATGAGTTCTTCTTTTCATAAATGTTCATAAATACGACTATGGCGACAATGACAATCTTTTTTTAATGATAAAACAAACTTTTGCCCTTAGGGCAATGGGATTCAAAATCAGAACCGTAGCTGACATTGTAGTCCGATACTTGAACCAGTAGGTCATGGAGATTTCTCATTAAGATTTAATAAAAAAAAAGTCACCAACAATAATTTGGCTAGTGAGACATTTCAACTTACTTAAAACACAAGTTGAAATACTCCGAACTAACACCACTAAGGAGCTGTTAACTTTTAAAATGAGACTTGCGGTAATGGGAGCTATTTCTTGCGAACAGAATCCGCTCCGCAGTCGCAAT